ATACACATACATATATGTACACTGACCTTGTGATCATTTGTCATATTTTAGTCATTCACATGGATTGTTATATTCTGTTTCTACATTTACTTTTGTTCAATGTAATTCATCATACAGGCCTAGCCTGCCTTATTAAAACTTTTATAAACAGCCCACAAGGTGTGCAGGTGTGCTGTGGACCCATCCTGAGCAGTTCATTAAAAAAAAAATTGAGACGGAAGTACCCGTGTATTCCAGTGGCTCCTTCGGGGATGAGCGCTAGACTTGTACAATCTGCATCATTATTTATGCCACAAGCTAGATGTTGAGCAACCTTAAACTGACCACGGGTTCAATTTATTATAAACAGAAAAGTACATTGCTTACTAACATTCTGTGATTAATCCGATGCAAACAGATCATATACCAATCTTCTAAAACTGCACAAGGGCATGCCGAGCCTCCAGTCAGTATACAAACTGGGTATACACTTCCAACTTACCTATTTGGTTCATTAGGCCCATGAGATGCAAACACTCTCTGAACAACTTCTGCCACTTCTATGTCACTAATGACATCCCATAATCCATCGGTACCCATTACAATAACATCATCAGCACTGTGCTCACATTTTGAGAGATCATAGACTTCCACCTACAAAGTAAAAATGATAGGTTTGTATATATAAGGGGTATTTGAAGCCTGATTTAGGTTGCAGTCCAGGCAATTACAATACAAACACCATTATTTATTTTTAAAAACCTTGCTAAATACCTAAAATATGCTATGTATTCAGTAGTCATGTGACCGCAATATCTGTGTCTTACAAGGCACAACAGGACCATGGGCTTGGTGGAGGCTGCAGTCCAGTTACTGTGGAATTGCTGCCAACTTCAGGACAAATCCCATCACTTTTGAGGTTCCATCTGAGGATCCTGAAATCTTGCAAAAAGATACTCCAGCACAGCGCAGGAGCAGCGTTTCTTGAGATTCGGGATCCCCAACTTACCCAGGATGTTGTTGGAAGGGCTGTGAGGTTACCCTTGCCTACATCCCATGGGT